TGATGGGATCGGAAGCTAAGTTCAATAGTATTTAACCTTAAAGTTGATAAGAAAAGCATATATGATACATGCTGTAAGCCGGGACTTAAAACTAAATACAAAAACAATAATAAATTTAAAAGTTGAAGTACATAAATATGTGTGTATGTGGCTAGTTTTAAAAACGTAGCTTAGTACGAGATGCAACAGTAAGAAATTTTATTATAACAACTTTACAACGTATAGGTGGCGCTAGTGGTACAGTATGTTTCATAGATACACTGATCACAATAATAATTGATACTTTCATAGGGAAAGAATCGATACCTATAAGCTTATCTGTAAAAAGCATTTGACCATAAAAGTTCTCTTGCAATTCACTTTCCAAATAGAAACCGAACCGTAGAAAAAAACAAGTATTCTTTCAGGTTGAAGGCATAAGGTGGTCAGTAAGGTGATTAAGATTTATTTTTCGCTGGCTTATAAGTAAGGGTTAGTACAGAATAAAATTATTTATGTAAACGAACATTTCAATGTTGAAATTTTGAGACAGTTGGGAATTTTATCACGTAATCTGACTAAAGTAACCTGACATGAACTAGCTAACAACTATACGTAGAAAATCGTTCAATACATTACAAAATTACATGGTAATACATGGTAACGAATTTAGTTATGACTTCTAACGAAATCTTCAAATGTTGAAGTCGTTTGGAAGGAAACGTTTAATAATCAAAATGTCAACTAGTGTACAAAATGAATCAAAGTAATATTTGGAAGATTGTAGTGTTGTAACTTGGAGATCACGTGTTGATGTAATTTTTTCGTAACATGAACTAATATTTTAGTTTAGGCTTCGTAACTTTTAAGCCTAAATTCCGAGACTAGATATGGTTAACTGCTTCACTTACAAGGAAGTTGTGCTTAGTTTCAATCATCTTAATTCACTGTGATCTATAGAACTAATTCTTTTGCTCTTTACACAATTTCTGTATTAAAATCGACCGAAATTTGTCAAATAATAAAAACCCCACTCTTGATCATAGTTACTATAACATTATGAAATGTATATTATTTTGGTGACAGAATATAAATACACATCAAAAATCTACGTTACTTACCAATTGTAAATTAACACTTTAACCTTCAACTTGAAAGTGGCTTTTCATCAGATATTATATTAATGATTTCATATTCAGTTCTTTCTTGGTAGAAGATCAGATACTCAGTTCAGTCTAATTAGAGTATTTTACAAGCTTAGGATTTCCAACACAACTAAAATCGATTGAAAATTGCCATGGCCTCAATAATATCACCATAGTAAAATCCATTATAATTAGTGTTTACACAAATATGCCAAACACGTTCAGCAGTTTCACTCAGACATTAGTTGGACAATTCTTTCTTATTTTTAAGGTGCAAGGCCATCATAAAATGCCATCTTTGACATATCAGAATATATGTGTGTTTTCTACTAAAGGGAAATCCAGATATAGTTTCGTAAAAATGTCTGATTTATTGTAGTGAAGCTTATAGATGCAACTCTCAGTTGGCGATAAAGCAACTACTCAGTAACATTAATGTTTTAACCACTGCATAAGTTGAAAGATTAAAACACATTTATAGGTCCTAAATATAGTACAAAAAATATGTAGAAGATATTGTATGTATATTGGAATGATGAAGTGTTTATTAACCACTTTATTAACTAATGAAAAGTAGGTGTGCTGTAGCAGAAACTCATATTGAGCAATGATTTTGCTTTTTTTTTGTATCTTAATATATATACATTAGACGTAAAAGGACCACTGTACGCATAGAAAGACGTAAACATTTATAAAGTAATCATCTGAATGTGTCAGAAGAGTGTCATTTTTGTGCGGAGAATGGTGAGCTAAAGCTTTGTGCTTTTACACAAGTATTTGGTTTACATCTATGAGTTAAAAATGTTCCAAGTTGAAAATACATCGTTTTAAAAATAAACTCAATTAATGTGGAAAATGTTAAAATTTACGTGTTTATTCGGGGATGTAGCTTTTGAAATATTAACAAGTTTCAAGTGAGCAAGTTAGAGATAGTTCACAAATATGATTCTTTCTTGATAAGGACTTTACATTTAGTAACAGTCTAAAACGAAGACAAACAAAACGTAAATAATTTGGTCTAAATAATAATGGTTAGTTGTGAAAATATGTTGCTTTAAAATATTCATATTTAACTGATGATGTAATAAATCTTTCATCATATTTGGAACAACAAAGTTGTATATTCACAGACAAGATTTACCGAATTTCAAGGATCCTGAAAGATTACTTTCATGTGAAAAAGAGCATAAAGTATGTATTTACCCGGGCAGAGAGGGCTGCATGGGCGTTCTCGGGAAAGGGGTGCTTTTTATGTGTGAACCACGGGTGTAAAAGATCTATACAAGGGAGAGAGTGAATCGAAGATATTCACAAGATATTGAAAATACGAGGCCATTCCTTTTTGTTGAACGTATTAACACTTAGATTCACAGGCTCTGTTTCACTGAATACAACCCTAGAAATAAATTTGACAAATTCATAATGCACACAATATTATTTAGCACTAAGAAGTGTCCTAAGACAAATTTTTCAGCGTGTGTATTGCAAAGAAATCTTACAGAAGATTTCAAAATTATCTTTGTTTGTTGAATAGATATCTCAGAAATTATAATTAATATATAAATTATTGTTATCATTTCAATGTTATTAATTATGACATTTGTAATGTTAGAAATACTGTTTGTAAACGTCTATAAATAAAACTTGTTTAAACCAACGCAATTAACCTTGAAGTGAATGTACCGCTTTCCACCGAGTATAAATGTGTAGATATGAAGGTTAAAAATACTTACACCTGGGGTATATAAAACCCTACACCTCCTGAAATAGAGGGTACATGAAACCTAACAAGTCTTGAGTACGGTTAAGAAATAGAAATAAGTAGCTTTTTACATAGGTGGTAGTTTTTTCAAACGTGGAACAAGCACGTGAACCCTTTAAATATAGGGAATGAAATGGTCCAGATGTGTTTAACACTGATAAAAAACCTACATTATAAGATGGCATTTCATAATTACTTTAAGCTAAACTTCGTCAATGAAAGGTTGAATCTGCAAATTTTTATATTTTTGTTATAAATGGATTATATATATTCTAACTACAGTTTATTAGCGAATGCAAAGTAGGATTAACTCACAGTAGGTCTACTGCACGTGCACAAGTCTTTCCAGTTATCTTCTTACAAGATTTTCCCCTCCAACATTGAACGATTTCCCTAGTTTCAATTTGTATTTAGTATCGTAACGATTAAACAGATTTTAATGCGTTTTGTTATTTTACAGTACAAGTCGAATAAATGTCTTAATAATTTTTGTTTCAGTTTTCATACATATATAATTAATTGATTTGATTTATAAGCTTTTAGACTTTTCTCGCCCATACTTATATATATAAAAAGCCTATATAGCTAGTTTTGAATTCTTAGACTAAAGAGAAGGCAGATAGTTAACAGCACTTACCGCCAGCTCTTGGGCTACTCTTGTTTGACAGAATAGTGGGATTTGGTTGTCACATTTATAGCGCAAGGACAGCCCCAAAGTGTGAAGCGCGTTTTTCCGGCAACCGGAAACGAACAATGAATTCTCAAATTCACCGTCCAGACACGCGAACAACTAGGTCAATCCTGGCACAAATATATGAAATATAAATAATGAAATATAAATTTAAAGTATAGATAAACGTTTCACTGGGATTCAAGTAAAAAAAAAGCAAACGATAATTGTCCAACATTTTTTTTAAAATAACTTGTTTTAATACTATTGAGATAAAACTGAATTTCAATGCTAACTGTTAATTATACTAACAAAAAAATTGAATGATCAAAATAAATATGATATTGATTTAATATAGAAATTTCTAGCCAATTTTTAAGATCTAAAAGACTGATTGTCTGTTGCTACGTGTATACAGATTTGTAAGTGCTTATTGAGTTTATATAGAATATTTCTTCTGATATTGATTCAACTCCAAAATCTACTATGGAATACTTCCGAAATTATTGATTCAACTCCAAAATCTACTATGGAATACTTCCGAAATTATTAATTCCACTCCAAAAGCTACTATGGAATACTTTCGAAATTATCAGAAAAATACTGGCTGGGGATCAGGCAACATGGATAATACCCGTGAAGTAGTTTTCAGATTTGTCGTCTGGTAAACGTCACGTATTCTCAGCAGTATAACCCTTTTGAAATAGAATAGCTTAGGATTTATTTAGATCTACCTTTTGACCAGCTAAACGAAAAAAATGGAGTTTTATTATTCTATCTACAACGGGTTAGTGTTTTTCCTTTTCTTATATTCAGCTATTTTTACAAGGATTTATTATTCTATCTACAACGGGTTAGTGTTTTTCCTTTTCTTATATTCAGTTATTTTTACAAGGAACGACATTCATTTTAGGTGTTTTAAGTAATGTCTAACCGCATTTTGTCTGAGTGTAAATTCTGCATTTATAAAACAAAAAGTATGCAATAACCAGTTTATGTGCGGAAAAGAAAGGCTTAGTACATCTTCCACTAAACTTTACTTATGAAATGCTTTTGATAACATAATAGAACTTTATCACTTTTCCGTACATAAATCAGAGAGATTGGTTTAATCATGGGTATGTATGGATATTCTGATGTAATGACATGTGCTAGACTAGTACATTTGTTTACAAATGATAATAATGTGCATGATATGGTAAACATCTTATCTAAATTAATTCGTCCCTAGCCACAATTTAGAATGTTGAATCATGTACTTGTGTTGTGTTTAATTACACCCGCTGTTAAAACAGGAATTGAACTTACTGTACATACAGTTCAAATAGGTCAATCAGCGTTATGATCTAATAATATTGATTATATTTTTTTTTGGAACATAATATATATAAACTAAATATAAAATAAAATATTATTTAACAAAAGCTTGGCATTGAAGAAATAATTGGCAGAAACTCCATTTCTAAAATCACTGATCTCGATGACGCGAATGTTTGGCATGAAATAAACACAGGAGTGTTATGCAAAAACAAAAAGTATTATTTGAAAACAGGTATTTAAAACAAATAATCTGAATTAACGAATCATTTACCATGACACATGTACCATTCTAATTAAAAACAAGTCAGTCCTAAATCTCACACTTGAGGGCTTTTTCCAAAGAACGTATTACAGTATTTTGTGAACGACTAGATGTATGAATTAATTCAGGTCCTTAAAGTAGCAAGTACTTGCTTCATTTCAAGGTTATGAATCAAAGATGGTCACTAATGTTATCGTTTTAACATTCAACGTTCAGTAAATATTGATCCCGACTTTGGGGGAAGAAACAACACGATTCATTACCACACGAGCTTTAAATCCTTAACATAGTTTATTGTTCGTAAAGTGATCTAACGTGTTCAGTAGCTAATTAGCTTTTATTATAAAATTCAGGTCTCTGTAAACTTTGCTCCGAATGTAGACCAGAGATATAAGCTACAAAAACTAATAACTATATTTTTCTTTCACTCGAGAAAGTTTAAAAGTCAACACAATTGGTGAACTTTCTGTCGGTTTCTTTTTTTTTTAAATAACAACAACAACAGCGACTTTGTGCTATCTTAGAAGAACCATCTATAGTGTATCAACACGTGTTTTCATATGGAAACCTGGCATTGCCATTCCGTTTGGCGCTTCTTTCTCCTTCATCAGCAGCGTGAACACTTACTGCATGTGAAATAGATACCACTGTCATGCTCTTAGTCCGTTCACTATCCTCGATGTGTTCAAACCCGGGACTATCTCTAGCAGAACCAATAGAATTATAAGTGTTGGTGCTACAAGGCGTCTGATTGGCAAGTTCCAAGTCGCCCTGTAATTCCGTAACAGAGATTTCTCGATACTGAGCAGTTCCCAAAGGCGTTGGTTGAAGACAGTAGATTAAAACACCGATGAAAAAGAGGAAGAAGGAGAGCACGTATAGCCAGTGGAACTAGGCAAAACAAGAAAAATGTATAAATTTCAAAACACTTCTTCAAATTGTTATACTATTAAAATGATATTATATCAGTAAGTAATAGTAACTTATCAACCGTGCTTAGAAAAGCTCACTTCCGCTTCTTTACATTAATATTTCTACAATTGTTATATTTATAAAATGTTGTAGTTACAGAGCTTTCGATTTTTTCGTTGTCAATAATAAATAAACTATTTAAGGGGAAAACATTCAATACGTCACCAAAGATTAATACTTAATCAATATTTCACTAGTTATGTACACGTTTCACTTGTTCCATTGTGAGGACGCATGCTGTTTTAGGTTCAGATTTCGTCTTTGACCGACTTCTTTCTACATAACTGTACAAATATATTACCTGTTTGTGGCAAGTGGTATCCAAGATAAGTAATGTAAAGTCGCCTAACAGACAACTGATGTAAACCAGACAAACAACAAAGCAAGTAGCTTGCTTTGTTGTTTGTCTGGTTTACATCAGTTGTCTGTTAGGCGACTTTACATTACTTATCTTGGATACTACTTGCTTTGTTGTTTGTCTGGTTTACATCAGTTGTCTGTTAGGCGACTTTAGGTTACTTCTCTTGGATACCACTTGCTTTGTTGTTTGTCTGGTTTACATCAGTTGTCTATTAGGCGACTTTACATTACTTATCTTGGATATGGTATCCAAGAGAAGTAACCTAAAGTCGCCTAACAGACAACTGATCTAAACCATACAAACAACAAAGCAAGTAGTATCCAAAAGAAGTAATGTAAAGTCGCCTAACAGACAACTGATCTGTACACTAGACAGACTAGACATTAAAAACCGCCAGTTCGTAAGCTCACTATGAACTCCATATCAGCAACGTAAGTTATTATCATGAGTAGAGTTTAAGGCGAAAAATACCTGTTTCAACTCCATAACTGATCACGTAACTTATTTGAAAGCTTGACTCTTCACACACGAGTCTAGGTTATATATTTCTACCAATGGTCAATGGGCTTGTGTTGTAGTGGTTTTATGTATCTTTCAGTGACTAACGGGTTTGTGTCTGGACAGCCAGAGGTGAACTATGTGCTAGGTGCAACAGCTTTGAGTGTGAATATTTTGGTGTGGGTAGACATCAGTGTGAAAGGCTTAATGACATTATTGTGCTACTGAGCAGCGATATACTACTCGAAGATATTGATCCGACTCAATTATACTGCACTTCTTACAATCAGACAAGATTTTGCAGGATAATACTCGATATTATACTACCGGCATTTTGATGGACTACTATCATGATGAAGTCATAATATTACCAATTAGAAATGCTCATCGTAATCTCACAGATCACCACCATCTTGAACGTCATGTCCGTCAACTCATTAACCTCCCATACGAAGACAAAAAGCTTAGCATTCGACTAACTTAGGAATGGGACAGGAACCCTCATAAAGAAATCTGTCAATTTATCAGAAGTATGTCTCCCTACAAATGTAAAGATTCTATCACTATCCAGTTATGAGCATTTTGAATTTCATGTTATATATGTTCCACGGGTTATATAACTAGAGGAAAATGTTCAAAGAAACAGTATTCGGTGCCACAAATGGTTTTCATAAAATATAATTTCAACTCTGTTATCACAGCGTATATACTAAAATAACAGACGAAATAACAGTCCTTTATAGTAAGTAGTTTTCTTTAGCCTTACAGCTCTCTCTCCCTCAGGAGTAATCTCCTTAGGACTAAACAGTTAATCTTGACAGGAGTCTTCACTTGATGATCTCCTAGTAGAAATTGGATAATGAAAGAGCACCTAAATTCAACACCGAACCTTCCTTTCTTTGTCCAGTTAACAGCTTAACCTCGTGACCTTTATTCTCTCACAGCCTTTGTTGGCCGTTACACTTAGTCAACGTCACAATCGGCCAGTAAACGATATTAAAATGCCAGTCCTTTAAACCTGGATGTTATATACGTATTACTGCAATATCATCTGAGGTAGAAAAGACATAACCTATTTTAAAGAACAAAGAAATGGAACAAGTACGGATATCAAATAACTGAAAATCTTTATATCACTAAAACAGGCAGAAAACATATGATATGCATGCATATCACAATTTTTCTTCTCTTCTTTCTTTCGTGCTTGTTCCAATCTGATAATTTAATTTTAAAACCAATCATCTTTAAACTCTAGACACGGTCAAGTTAGACTTACACGTCACATGGGTAACACAAACCCTTTAGCAATGAATTGCATTTAATAAGATAAAAGCATAAAAAACATTGTATCTTAATATCTTAAAACAATGTTTTAAAAGAAGAAGCAGCTTTTAGTGAATCAAATTATATATGGATATAGGCTACGAGGATTAAATTATATATGTACAAACGAAATAATTCCAAGACTTAGCCCTTCAACTCAGATAAATACATTTTACATTCTTTAATACAGAATATACAAGAAAATGCCCTTTAATATAGAAAAGCAATGCACAGATACACACAACGACAAAAGGTAATATTAAGTAAGAAATAACTAAATGCAGAGTTATACTGTCTAATTTGAGAGTGGACAGATTATCACAAAAACAAAGTTACTAAACCAAAATATAAGGAGACAAAAACAAAATAAAAAGACAATAACTTAACATAAATCACATTTTAAATCAAAACTTTAACAATCTTTTAGAGCTGTCTCTTTGTGAAAGCGCAGTCTAACGCGAAACTTCAACAAATGTAGCTGAGGTCCTTAATTTATGAGTGTGACATATATCAGAAAACAAAACATTTTTGAACACTGAATTCAAAATACAATTACATAAAATCCCTTAAATTTTGATTTAAAATCTCCACATCTATAAGTAATACCCTCAACATGGCTGAACCCAAACGCGTCAAGATAACAAGAAAATAGATTAACCACTTTTTGCTTGTGTACACAAGTGTGAACAAGCATGTGTTGATGTATTGAACTTATAACTTATATACACCATATACAAATTCAAAAATGAAAAAATAAATATATTGAGAATTTATACACACAAAAAACGTTTGAAACAGTGATGGCATCATCATTATATCCCAAAAGAAATAAATAGATGTATAGATTTACAAAATACTCCCCTGCCCCTGCAAAGAAAACCCGTTAGGCTCCTGTTTTCTACACACACTCGTGATAGCAGAAGACAGAGTGATCTCTAAATTTAAAACAAAATATACAATAGAAATTAGCATAACTTAGATATGCATATACAAAAGAAACATTCACACCGAGGTTGGTTTAGTCTGCCCTCTTCTCACGTTAACTCTGGTAGCAGAGCTTCCAATGTCATCATTGTATTTTTATTGGTGGCCAGGGGTGCTTTGAGATCTTCTTGAACTCTCAACAGGTTAAAATTGGCTTCTGATAGCCTGTCCTGCAGAAGCTGAACCTATTTCTCATATTTCAATGCAAAAGTGGCTTTTCACCTCAGCTGACCTTCTTTCTGGGGGCTCAGGCTTCTATTGATTTGGCTGCCATTTCTCAGAAATAGTACTTGAGCACTGTCATGTTCAGTATTACCTTAGGTGGCTTTGTGGGGAGCTCAGTCTCTTTCGTGAGGTTTCTTGTGGTCTTCTGGATCTCACAGTAGTTCCAGTCTTTGATGTCAGAAACTGTTAGATGAACCATTTGCTTTGTCCATACTGTTACTGCTTTGGTCTGTTGACTTCACAATTTTGCTAGAACCTGTTCTTCATTTAAGCCCTTCTTGGACTTACGAATGTAATGGACTCGTCGAAGTTGCAAATACATTTCATGGTTTTACCACTCCCTATGATGATGGAAATCACCAAGCCTCTATTTTTCTTTGGTTCTCATCTCTGTTGATGGTGTCAACAACAATACTGACTCTTGTTGCTAGGCCTTTTGGAGACTCAGCTCCTCCAGATGCGATAGTGGCAACTCCAATGGTCGCTAGCTAAGGACTTCACTGGGCTTCCCAGTGACATCAGGGTCTTCAAGTTCAAAAAGAGAGAATGAATGTAGATGGAACTTGACCTTAAATACTAAAAGTTTGGATTCAAGTGCAAATGTTTGCCAAGTTCTCATTGGCGAAAGGTTCAGCCAAGTGCACAGGTTAAAGGGGTTATAATTTTTGGTTACACCTGTGAACTAGCTATTGGTCAAGTGACATCTTTAGAGGCTGAACGTGTACTTACGCCCTAAAACAAAACACAGAATATGTGCCTAAGAAACATAAGGACTTCTCAATTCTCTAATTTCCCTGGATTTTTCCTGTCACCAGCCATCTGTGGGCGTGCTGCCTTCTGTTGTCCGTTTAGGATAACAGAAACATACACGCCAAACTCTTCAACCTGGCCTCATCCTTAGCCTACTGTCTGATCGCCAGTAGGCAGAGCCTAGTTCCAGTAAGCAAGAATGGGGTTGAGACTGCTTGGGTCCTACATAGTCAACTTGACTCAGGTTAGACACTGCTAATCTCACCTTTTACCATAAGCCTTTGTCAATGGTTTTATTGTCTTTCCTTAGGGACTTTCTTCCAGTTAACTTTTATATAACAGTTACGGAGTAAGTTAAAAGGTCACTAAAGGTATCTGCTGCCTCCCTCTATTATACTTACTTCCAGCACTTACACGCTTCAAAACTGTAGTTTGTAATGATTGTTTGTTTGTAATTAAGCACAAAGCTACACAATGGACTACCTGTGCTCTGTTCACCACGAGTATCGAAACACGGATTCTAGCGTTATACGTCCGCAGACATACCGCTGTGCCACTGGGGGCTTATTTTGTAATGAAGCGACGTTAAGAAAATAGCCGAGAGAATGATCCAATTATGATGTTGAGACATTAAGATTTGATGAATATGAGGTTAACTGTGAGAACAACCTGAAGTATTAATAGCAAATACAGATTACCTGTGATTTTCATTAATGCCGAGAGAATTTTCCAATTATGATGTTGAGACATTCTGCAGGTTTTGGGATTTTTCATGGAA